TATTTAAGAGAAAATTACCCAAGGAGGGAAGGTGGGGGTGGGATGAAACGGGAGCTTGGAATTGACATACATACACTATGTATGTATGTATAAAATACTACATACTATGTATGTAGTATATTTTATACATACTATGTATAAAATATATAACTAATGAGAATCTACTGCATCACACAGGGAACTCAACTCACTGCTCTGTGGTGACCTAAATGGGAAGGAAATCCAAAAATGTGGTATATGTCTGTGTAGAGCTGATTCACTTTGCCATACAGCAGAAACTAACACAACATTGTAAGGCAACTATACTCCAATAAAAATTGAAGAAAAGCTTGTGCAGGGGATGTAAAACAATAAATCATAACTGGATTTTAACACCAGCCCTTATACTTCTACACCAAAAGAGATGCTTGAATGAAACACAAAATTCATTGTCTAATTAAAGAAGTTTCCCAACTGTATTGCCTATAGATTTCAGCTATGGATTTCTCGTAAAAACCCCATGTCAATCTCTAAGACAAAATGAAACACTGCTGCTTGGCGCACCTGAATCTCAGAGATAGAGAAGAAGTTGGAACTCTTGCCAGAATGCTAGTGGTGTGGGTAATATGTAAGTGTAGCATTGTAAATGCAGATTCCCAGAACACACCCTCTAGAGATTGACAGACCATTTGGCATAAAGCCCCAAGTGTTTCTTCTTACTATGTACCCTGAGTGAGTCAAGATATCAGGACTAAATTTTTACAGGTTTCATGCTTGACAGTAAGTAGAATCTGGGACAAGTTTGTAATCACAGATAAAATATCGTGTTGTGCATTTTATGTAATTCATATTGCTGGAATATGACATATACTTATTTTTTAAGGTATAATAAAGAGCTTCCTTAATAGTAAAAAAGAGAACATTGCAATATAGCATTCTAACTACAGATTACTAAATACACTAAAAGGAATTAAAAGAAAAAGAAAGTTGATGTGCTAACACTGTCACATATTTTGCTTTGACCCAGAGCCTTATTTCATCTTAAATACATAGTGATCCAATGGGCTTATATTCCAGACAAGGAATGAAGCCTAGAGAGGAGAAGTTTCTTATTTCTTAATCTGGGGTTTTTTCCCTACTAGACCACACTGCCTCATTCTAGTTCTTCCTTACACGCATCCTTCACTCTGCACTTGCTCTCTCTCACTCTCTCTCTGTCATACACACACACACACACACACACACACACACAAGTACTTGCTTTGAGTAAGTTTTATTTTTCTCTCTTTACCCAAAATTTCTTCATGAAGTTAAGGAAAATATCTCTCCATATTGCCCATCCTAAATATATATTCGAAGACTGGTTTCCTTGGGTGAAAAAAGAATAAGGTCTCAAAAGAAAAGATTTTTGAGATCTAAAAGGAGAGAAAGAGTAGAGGCCATTTCAATTGATGAAAATTCAGCAACATTCTCATAATAAATATTTACACTACACTTACCACATCAGCATCTAGGAACAGAACAGTAAACAGAAACTCTCACTGTCCCTGATTTCACAGAAACTTCTGCATAGCAGGAGAGGTGGGCATTAATTAATTAGTTTGTACAAGCAATCTAAACAGTCAAAGGCTTTGGTATAGTCAATAATGCAGAAATAGATGTTTTTCTGGAACTCTCTCACTTTTTTGATGATCCAGTGGATGTTGGCAATTTGATCTCTGGTTCCTCTGCCTTTTCTAAATCTAGCTTGAACATATGAATACCTTTGTCTTTAGCTTCTGTTCTTTTCTCAGCTATTTGTAAGGCCTTCTGAGACAACCATTTTTCCTTTTTTCATTTCTTTTTC